ATATATATATATATATAATTATTATTATTAATAGTAGTAGCAGTAGTATAATATTATTATAATAATCATTAATAATAGTGATATTATAAATAAATTATTAATACACATTATTGTTAATAATTATCATTATTAGCCATAATTAGCAGTAATGCAGTAGTTGGATTTATTATTCATTATAAAATATAAAATGGCATGCATTTATATCAGTGTTAATTTTGACAGCAAATTTTGATTTAGTTTTAGTCAGTCTTTTGACTAAAATGCCATTTAGTTTTAGTCATATTTTAGTCATTTGAATTGTTTTTATTTTTTGTCTAGTTTTAGTCGACTAAATATCATAAGATTTTAGTCTACTAAATCTATAGTAAATTTAGTCGACTAAAATCTAATGGGTTTAGTTACAGTGTAATGCATTTATTAAGCATTTCTCTAAAATTTCCAAACTCATTATATAGGTTTGATATTAAGGTTTTATCATGATAGACACTTCGTTCTGAATGAATCTCTTCCCAAATCGTCCCTCCCTAACATTTTCGTTTTTATTCGTTGACGAAAATGTCAATAGATTTACGTCATAGTTTGTGTCATTCAAATAGTTTTAGTCTCGTTGTCGTCGGTGAAAAGAATGTCGTTGACAATAATTATGACGAAAATAATTTGTCAATGAAATTAACACTGATTTATATAATAATGATACTACTACTACTACTACTAATAATAATAATAATAATAACAACAATAAAAATATATTATCATTACTGCAAATATTACTGCTAAAACTATCACTACTACAGCTTAATTAATAAAACTATTTATAAAAGATTTAATCATAAATAAAAGATTTAGAAGATTCTACAGTATTATAACAAAATGTATTAAATAAATTATTGAATTTAATATTATTATTATTGTTAAAAATAAATATAATTTGCATAACAGATCACCACCTTTAATAAAGCACTGGTAAATTGCAAACTATAATTTGGTCTGGAATGATGGCAGAGATCAGATGATTTAGGTTTTGAACTCTGTTTATGACGGTGGTCACCTGTGAACGCTGCCATCGCCTGCGGAGGGCTGCACTGTGAGCTCCACTGATCAGCAAAACCAGACACTGAGTCTAGAGAGAGATGGAGAGAGCAGATAAACAACAGGGCGTGACGAACGAGTGCGCAGATGCTGCGCTGCATTTCAATGAGAGAAGAGAAGTGACGAGTGTTTTCTAAGAGGCTTTACAGAGACAAAACAAGCCGCCACAAGCAGCCGGTTATTACTAGTGATAGGAAACAAACAGATGGAAATGTTCATTTGTGACCCTGGACCACAAAACCAGTCATAAGGGTCAATTTTTCGAAATTGAGATTTATACGTCATCTGAAAGCTGAAAAAAAAAATCTTTCCATTGATGTATGGTTTGTTAGGATCGGACAATATTTGGCCGAGATACAACTATTTGAAAATCTGGAATCTGAGGGTGCAAAAAAATCAAAATATTGAGAAAATCGCCTTTAAAGTTGTCCAAATGAAGTTCTTAGCAATGCATATTACTAATCAAAAATTAAGTTTTGATATATTTACAGTAGGAAATTTACTAAATATCTTCATGGAACATGATCTTTACTTAATATCCTAATGATTTTTGGCATAAAAGAAAAATCTATAATTTTGAGCCATACACAATGTATTGTTGGCTATTGCTACAAGTATACCCCAGCGACTTAACACTGCTTTTGTGCTCCAGGGTCACATTTGTCATTTCTCAAAGAAAACAGCAACCGCAAAAACAATCAGTCAGTATTTGTGCTCCTGTGATTCACCTGCTGGACCAGAAAACTCCCACAGAAACACAGTGAAGGAGCACCAGAAGGCCCTCTAGACAGGAAGAAAACACAAGAGCATCCTATCCTATCATCATATCAGCTAGTTTCAAAATATAATTTTTAGTAAGAAACTGTCTCAGTTTCCATCCACAGTCTGTTCACTGTTAATCTGATGCATATTGTGCACTAAACCGGAAAACTCTTTCTCCATCTGGCTGATTTTGGCTGACCTTACACAACTTCTGTGACTAACAACAAAGTCATACTACAGACACAATGAACACTTCTGAGGAAGAACTTCACGCCGGATTTACATGAACATTTATTCATTTAGCAGACACTTTTATCCAAAGCAACTTACAAAGCGATTCATCCTAAAGGAAGTGCTTTATTGCCAATGTCAGAGTTTTATATCACCAAATCTTTGAAAGATGCCTAGAGTTTAGTTTTAGGCTCTTAACAGCAGATTAAACGAGAAATTCAATAGCAAATATGTTTTTGATTTATGTTTGTGAAGTAACATGTATGTATTACTATGTTAATTAACCAAAATTTTTTTAAACTAAACCCATGAAAGAAAAAGAAAGAAAGAAAAAGAAAGAAAGAATTGATTGATTGAACTGATTGAAGGTGGTGAATTGTTTTAAATTTCTATCTATCTCTCTCTCTCTCTCTCTCTCTCTCTCTCTATATACAGTGGGTACGGAAAGTATTCAGACCCCCTTACATTTTTCACTCTTTGTTATATTGCAGCCATTTGCTAAAATCATTTAAGTTAATTTTTTTTCCTCATTAATGTACACACAGCACCCCATATTGACAGAAAAACACAGAATTGTTGACATTTTTGCAGATTTATTAAAAAAGATATATACAGTCAAAAGTCTGATTAATTTTTGTAAAAAATAATAAAACTATATAAAAATATATTTTTTTAAAAATAAAAAATTATAACATGCATTAAAGACAAAACTAAAACTGTGTATAGAAATCTATATTTATATCTATATTTTCTTCTGCTATAGGTTTTTCTGTTACACTAGTATTTGACTGTGTGTTTTCCATGCTGGTCTATTATTGCCATTTAATCTATTTCACAAGAAAAACCTGCACCTAAACGACATAAAAACAACACAAACTCAGTCAGACAGTCTCTTCTGTGTCTAAGTGGGCAGTTCTTGACTACAATCATCTGCATTGTGGACTCAATCTTATAGTGCACGTCACAACTCTGGTAAAGCTTTATTTACTACGTGAAGCAGATGCTGAACTCACCTGATAGTAAGTCTGTCCCAAACGTCTGCTGCTCAGTCTGAAGAGGCGTCTCTTTCGGTGGCATCAGTGGATTCACGGCGCCTGTAAAACAGACATGAAATCATCTTTCCGCTCTGATAACAGACTATAATCCATGCCTTCAACTCACCTGCCACATATCAAACACACAGCACGCTATTTCCCTGCATACTCAAGTTAACACACAGTTAAAGCGCAGAGACGTGTCTCTGACTGGCACGCTGTGAACTCATGGTCCCGTCTGTGTGGGGAACCTCCTGACTCAATCCTGATCCGAAGTGGCGGTTCTGGACGCGACCGCCTCCCACAAACCCCCTCCAGCGCCTCCTCAGACGGGCCGGCGGCTCAGAGCGGCTGACGCTGAAAACACTCGACAGGACGGAAGCCAAAGTCGAACCCAAACAGAGCAGTGTTTGATCCGGACCTGCGGGTCAGAGGCGGGTTCAGCTCGGGTTACCCGCGGTCTGTGCTCTTGAGCCAAAATCAAGGAAAATCTCACGCACAGACATTACAAGCCTCATTAACAGCGCAAAATAAACGAGGCAATGCAAAAGGGGAAATGCATCCAAAAATCATCATTTACTGAACCTCAAGTTCCTTTACTTCATGGAAAACATGAAATTTAGCTGATTTTCATTTTTGTCTACACAAAGCAGCTCCAAAAGGGTCAAAAAGCATAAAAAAATTACCATTAAAATAGTCAATATGTCTGATGTCCTATAGTCCTAGTCTTCAGCAGATGGACTTTTATGAAATTTAAGCTGTTATTACCTGAAATACTAAAAAAGTGAAACTGAAAAGTTTGGGGTCAGTAAGAATTTATTTATTTATTTAAATATTTCTTTGAAGCAAGGCTGCATTAAATTGATCAAAAGTGTCAGTAAAGACATTTACTGTATAATGCCACAATATATTTATATTTCAAATAAATGCTGTTATTTTGAATTGAATCTGTGAATCCTGAAAAATAAAATGCATCAGTTTCCGCACAATTTTTTGACAGCACAACTGTTTTCAACATTGATAATAATAATAAATGTTTCTTGAGCAGCAAATCAGCATATTAGAATGATTTCTGAAGATCATGTGACACTGAAGACTGGAGTAATGATGCTGAAAATTCAGCTTTGATCATAGCAACCAATTACAGTTTACAATATATTCACATAGAAAATAATTATTTTAGATTGCAATAATAATTTTTACTGTATTTTAGATCAAAGCTTCTTTGGTGACTTCTTTCAGAAACATTTATGCAACACATATGCAGCATTATTGATGCCAAAAACATCCCTGATTTGCACACTGAATATGCACAATCGGGAATGAGATGTGCTGGAAAGAGATGTGTGCTGTATATTCAGAAGAAAACAACTAAACCAGCTATGAGCAGCATCATCCCGTCAGCTCTGTTGTTTCTGTCGAGCCGGACGAGCCTTTAGCCACGTCTGCTCTCAGATGGCATCAGGAACGCTCGGTTTCATTCATCGGCTCGTAACATTCACATAAACTGCTCATCTTAGACAAAACTAGATGCTGTTCAGAGAAGCAAAGATGTGGCGACTGTGCCAGTTAGTGAAGATGTGTTTTGGTAGGTTATGGTGAGTTATGACCCATCACCAGTCGGTCCGCAGGCGTTCGTGATGAGGCAGAGAGCATGCTGGGAAATCAACAGCTGGCGGGGTGTGGAAGCTGTACACAATCCAGAACGAGACGTGAGAGAGTAAAAGAGGGAAACATGCCAAAAAACCATGGCCGTCTAGCCCAAAACTGTCATGTCCCATTTAGTTCTCCTCGTTGATAGAGGCTGCTTGACTTTGAGGAGTGCAGTTAACTAACCGCTCACTTACTAACACATCAACTGGGTCAACGATTATTAGGAATGCCTTTTTTCTCATTTTCAACTAAATGTCTATGGACAGCATCTCTATTTATGATATTGATCACCACAGACGGTAATTGACACGTCTCAGTGTTTACAATAACGCACTTTCAAAGGAAGCTCAACAGGAAACAGAAATATGAATTATTTTGGTAGTCATTTTTGCCATTTTAAGACTTCCATTATACGTATATTTAATTTCGTTTTGGCATGATTCAAATTATTGTCCATGATAATGAACAGCATGCGGGCCATAGACAACAGGTTGAAATATCCCAGAACATTATTATTAATTAATTTATTTATTTTGTATGTACTTATTTATTATAGATAATAAGAAGAAATGCCATTTGGTAATTAAAAATCATTAAATACTGGTAAAAACTAAACACTAATATATTTATAGATTCAAATAATAATATTTACTATTATTATCATCATCATCATCATAACCATATGTAAACAAACATAACGCATTTTATAGATTAATAAAAGTATTTTTTTTAAATGTCATCATTAACAACAGTATTTATTATTATTATTAAAAAATAAATAAAATACATTTAAATATATTAGTATTTGATAGTATTTTCTCCATTAACAACGTAATTTATTATTGTTATTATTATTATAAAAAAACTGAGACATGAAGATAAACAATGGTTTACTGGTTGTGTCCTCAGAAAGCTGAATGATTCAGCCAAGTTTGAGGCTGTAATTGTTTCTATTATTTTTCTTATTTGTGTGTTTGCTTATTTTTGATGTCTTTGCCCAGAGTTTGAACCTTCAGTCTTACCTTCACCCCCAGTATCTCTCTGATATATTTTTGTGGACAGCGATTCTGTCTCTATTCCCGTTTCGGTGTCTGTGTGCCTCCAAACCTCCCATGGGCCACACAGACCCAGTCTATTTTTACGACTTTGCCAATGAGGACACGCAGGCGGCGCGCTGAAATGTTGGCCGGGCAAACGATCCGCATCTCATGACACATTTGCCAGAGGAAGCAGAGCAATGACACTGAGTCTGGGTGACCTCATGGCTGACTTTCTATCCACGTCTGCCACCGATCATATTTATATCGCTCTCATCACCTGCAGACAAATGCTTCAAATGACTTACAGTGCTGAGAAATGATTGAATACTGTGATAAATGTATCGTACAGTCGGACTGTGGCCACCAATCTGGAGCTGATGCAACGACAGAACAGGGTTATTTATGATTATTATGCAAACTGCTAATGACACCAAAAACTGCTGTGACCCTTAATAGAAATGTGCAAAACTAGTCAAAGGATTACGTTCAACAAATATCAGACTAAACAATCAGTTTATTGCACAAAACTATCAGTGTTCACAAAAAGATGAAGAACTACAGATTATGCATAATAAAGGGAAATGCTCACAGCAGGCTGACAAGAACTGCCTCGAGAATTATTGTTGAAATCAAGACAAAGAAAATGATGACAAGAAAGAAGCACAAGAACAAGAATAACACAAATAAGAAGATGATGAGGAAGAAGCAGCAGCAGAAGAAGAGGAGGAAGAAGATGAAAAAAGAAGAGGAAGAAGATGGAAATCAACAAGAAGCAGAAGAAGCAGAGGAGGAAGAAGATGAGAAAGAGAGGGGATAACAAAAACAAGAAGAGGAAGATGATGAAGAAGAAAAAATACGGAAGAAGAAGAGGGATAGGAAGAAGATGATGATGATGATAAAATGACAATGAAGAGGAAGATGAAGGATTACAAAAATAAAAACAAGATGATAAGGAAGGCACATAAGTGGAAGTGGAAGAACAAGATGATGAAGAGGAATAACAATAACAAAAATAGGAAAAAGAAAAGGAAGATAAGGAAGAAGAGCAAAAGGAGGAAGATAATGAGAAAAAATATGAGGAAGAATAAGATGGAGATCAGAAAGATGATAAGGACTTACATGACAAAGAAGAGGAAGATGAAGAATAAAAAAAAAACAAGAAGATGAGGATGGTGAAAAAACAGAAAAGAAGAATAAGACGGTGAGGAAGTAGGAGGAATAGCAACAACACCAAAAACAAGAAGAGGAAAAGAGGAGGATGAAGACTATGACGAAGAACAACAATAAAAACAAAAACAAGAAGAGGAGGAAGAATAAGATAAGGAAAAGGAGAAACAAGAAAATTACGGAGAGGAGGAAGATGACATTGAGGAAGAGGAGGATGAAGACGATGAGAAAAACAAGAGGAAAAGAAAAAGAAGATGAGGAAAAAGGAAATTAAGAATAAAAAGAGGAAGAGGAGGCAGAAGCAAATAATGAGGCAGAATGAGGAAGAATAACAAACAAAAGATGAAGATGATGAGGAAGAAAATATATACCAAAAAACATGAACATGAGGAAGAGGAAGAAGAGAAAGACAAGGGGACAAAGAAGAAGAGGAAGAAATGAAACTCTAAATTCAAAAGAAAGGAAGAAGGAGGGAAATCCTGATTTCCATGATCTGCTCACTTGAATAATATTCAAGACTTGAACAGAGCAAGGTCTAGTGAGGACACAGTAAACACGGTAAAGAGGAAGACGAGGAGTGTGTGTCCTCAGTCTGACCCCGCAGACGCTCCGCCGCAGGAGGCCCAAAAGCGCTGCTCCATTCATCTGTTTTACATTTATCCTCCGGATTAGAGCACTTATGCAATGCGAACGGCTTACCGATGATTTAAAACACATCACAAATCTCCAAAAGACCAATCCTGAGAACGAGGAAGCAGCGAAAAGCACCTCCGCAGACGGGGATTATGGGAAACGGCTACTTCATCAGTGGAGAAACATCCTCAAAACTGACCTCAGTTCAGATTAGACTCAAGGAAGACAACTAATGCTGAATTAAGAGACGAGACGAGGACGCCAAAGCTGCTGAGCTTTACTAACATATTACTGCAACTACCGAACCAGGATCAGCACACAGACAAACACTCTTACCTTCAGAAATTATATAACAATATAATTACATTAAATGGGTCATAACATACATTTTTCAGCATTTTTTTTTTTGAGAAATAAAAAATGGCACAATATTTAAACCTAACTGGTTATCAGCTCTCTGTAAAAAATAAAAATATAATTATTCAACTATATTTTATGTATATATGAATAATATTATATTTCTAATATATATTATTTGTTATACATGCATAATAACTGCATATGATT